TTTATATTAAAAGGGCCCTCCAGCGATTAGACGCCACGTGTCACTATACTATTTTTGGAAGAAAGAAAAAAATTCGTAGTATTGCCGCACGGCTATACCATTCTAAAAGGTCTATCTATACTATTTAATATATAAATTAAAAAAAGAAAAGAGGACCCTCCAAGTTTCATTAGCTTGTACTTTATAGATATTAATTTGCTAGTTTCAACATATCCAAAGTAGATATTAATAAGTCACTATATCATATTTTAGTATAATTTTTATAACATATATTATTCGTATTTAATAATATGTGAGAATTATTTGTATAGTACGTGAACTTTGTGAGAATTACTAAGAATTTTGTAAAAAAATGTGTATTAAGCATTAGAAATACGTATGTACATGTACAATACGACTATTGTAACGTTTGCTTTTTAAAAAATAGTAGACGTGTGTAGAATACGAATGTATTATTGAAAAATACGTACATACATATGTATATATATAAGACTATATTTGAAAGAAACTAATTTCATATTTTTTCTTAAATTGTTTTTAAAAATAACATAAACACTTCTCCCGACGAAATTTCGTCGGCATAGGTCTATGCCGGCAAATACTTGTCGGATTAGGTTTCTCCCGACAAAATAACCTATGCCGACGGAATTTCGTCGGGAGAGGTCATTTAAAAAAAATTAAATACAAAATTAGGATGTTTAGGTTGATTAATTTTTTAAAATTGTATTTTTAGAAATTAAATAATAGATTTGACTGATTTAATTAGTTAAATTAGTAATTATATTTTAATTATTATTTATTTAGTGAATAATTAGTATTAAATATTTTAATTAATTTCATGAATTCTACTACTTAATAAATAGTAATTCAATTATTCTTTTTCTTTTTTTCCTTTAATATTCACTAAGTAAATAATAACTGAAACATAATTACTAATCAAAGTCATTAAAAAAGAGAAATACATATTATGCTACTTAAAGGGTTCCGCAAATAGTATAGCCGTGCGGCTATAGGTTTTTAAAAAAATTTATAAAACTGAGTATAGCCGTGCGGCTGTTGGGGATGCCTTCAGTTAGAAGAACACTGATCTTACTTTCAACCCAAGAGAAAAAAGACTATTGATCTTATAATCAATAAAATTCTTTTTTTTTTAATTGCCAACATTTCATAAAATTCAAATTATCTCGCAGCAATGTATTTATTAATTTTATTTTCTAAATAAGGACCAAGGTATTAACTTTATATTTTTATTACGTACGTTTGAATACTAGTGTTATTAGAAATTTAAGTTATCAAACATATAAGTAAAAGAAAAAGAATTGAGCTTAACCAAGGACCCTCCAAGTTTCATTAGCTTGTACTTTATAGATATTAATTTGCTAGTTTCAACATATCCAAAGTAGATATTAATAAGTCACTATATCATATTTTAGTATAATTTTTATAACATATATTATTCGTATTTAATAATATGTGAGGATTATTTATGTGTATTAAGCATTAGAAATACGTATGTACATGTACAAGGGCGGAACTAGGTAGAGGGCTACCATGGGCTTTAGCCTAGGTCGCCTTTTTATAAAATTAAAATATATTACATGTATTTTAATGTTATTCATCTCATAAAAACTTAGTAGCTACCCTTGGTTAATGCAAACATTAAGAATTGAAATTATTAATTAAATGAGGATAATATGGTAAATTCACACTTTTTAACATTAAAAGAAATTAAAAGAAAATTCAGATAAAAGATTCTATTTTTATGGAACACAACTACCCATTATCTTTTATAATTCTAAAATAAATTTAAATTTTTTTAAAAAAAGCCTCACGTAGGCGCGGAAGCGCGTCTGGAGATGCTAGTTGATATAAAACATGGGAAATAGTTAGGGGAAATCATTAGAATGTGAAGTATTGGAAAGAATTTAAATTCTCATTCCCCAATATCGCTTATACAAACAAAATAATTGAAGAAATGACTCTAGCCAATGAACAAAATATTGATAATTTCGCCGAAATCTCGGCGTTTATTTATCGTCAATTTATCGATAATTTCCTCGATGATATCGCGATAATTTCAGTAGCGATATTTTCGTTCAAATGACAGCTGCAAATGGTCAATATATCGCGATATTATCGATAATATCGCAATATGAACTTTCAAAAATGAAATAATTCATTTAAACTCACGCACACAGGGGTTCGAACCCCTTTCCCTGGCGAAGTTCTATGCCACTTAACCACCACGCTGCTCCTCACTTTGTGATTAGTACCTTCGGAATCTTGTATTTATAACTCTTCCAAGCTGTTTCTCAAAATAGAAAATAATTACTTATTGTTCTATATTGTTGACCAAATATTTAATTACTTAATATAATTTATTTCTTTCCTATTTAATCCATTTAATGTTATTGTTTATTTTATTATTCATTATAAGTACTTACATTACTAAATTCCCCTTCAAATTGTTGCTTAATTACTTAAATCTCTATAATCATTTTCTTTATTTCCTATTTAATTCTTCCTTGGATAACTTTATTTATGTTCTTACTTAATTTTCAATCTTTATTTTTTAAGGTAAAGTGCTTAATTTTCATGACAAATCAAGTTGGTTTACATCTTTAATTATTTTTCAATTTTTGATAAATAATAAATATAAGAACGTGTACCATGTCATGATGTCAAGTGGACAACGTGAAATAAAGTTACTCATGTATCTTACCATGCAATTTATAAAGTGTAAAATATTGTAGTAAAAATGATAAATAAATCACTACATGGTGTTTAATTTTCTTTCATTAATTACTCTAGATTTTCTAAGTCACAGAGTTTGTCAACTCGCAATATAATCAACTTAAATCACTCAAACCTACTATGCAATGCATTTCCTTCCAATCTTTTGTGTTAAAATAATAGATGATTGACTAAATAAACTTTTTACAAAGTTTCATTAAAAATTTCCATGTTTTTATCACAATTTCCGTGGTTTTTATCTAATTTTTATCGATATTGATATTTCCCCTATATTTCCGTGTTTTTGAACCACCGATATTTCCGAAACCCTCGATATTTAAGACCTTGACTCTAGCCCAATAGACTGAAGTGGTATGTCATCCCCAAACCTTAAAATGATGTGACAAAATTGTATATTTAAAACGTATAGCCGGGCGGCTATACGCGCCAAATATATTAGAGTATTTTAAACGTATAGCCGGTCGGCTATACTTTCTAAATACATTCGAATATTTTAAAAGTATAGACGTTCGGCTATACGCTTGAAATATTAATATATTCGAATATTTTAAGAGTATAGCCGGCCGGCTATACTCTTTAATTATATTCGAAACGAACACGAAGCTTGCACCCGCAGAGGACGGAGGTTGCAGTCGAAGTCTCGCTTCTCTATCAACTCAAGCTCCGATTTGTTTTCTTCGGTTTCGGCTGCTTCGTCCTCCGGGTTCGGCACCAAAAAAAGACCCAACCCGCCTGGGAGGCCCGCCCAGCCGCCTAGCGCCCGCCTAGCCGCCCGCCTAGGCCCATTTTTTAGAGTATAAAGCACAAGATGCCGAGGATAGACTAGAAACGGTTGCCTCTCAGGCTCAAAAGGTCGTGCACTGATGTACTCAATCCATCTTTGGTCTATGGCTATGAGTGTGTGATGTTGTTAGTGTGGTGTTCATTTTGCCATTGGCTTCTTTCTCTTTGCTTTCAGATGGCTGACATTGTTACAGAACAATGGATTCAAATTCAGCGGCTTGAGCAGGCTCTTCATATTACACAAGTAAGTTTTTCGGCTTCAAACTGGCTTCATGTTCTTTATTTGCTAAATTCATAAGTTTTGCTGATTCACTAATATTTGCTAGTTTCTTCTTTGTTGGACTGCTTTTCATTCTTTGGATATTGCATTTCTGTTATAGATTTTGACATTTGATCATGCCCTCTTGTTTGCTGAGAGAAAAAGGAAAGAAAGAAAGATTTGTCTCCTCCTCCTGTAACCTGTTGCATAGGAACCAAAACCAACCCACCAAAAAACAGAAAGAAAAAAAAAATTGAAATATTACACCACCTCAAGTGAAAAATCTAATTCATTTAAGCTTTTATATTTGTTCTTGTGTGAGCATCTGTGTTTCTGTTGTGTGAACTCCACCTCAACTCCAAAGAAAACAAATAAAAAAAATTAGAGGGCGCATTTCCTAACGCATGGGTTGGGAATCTCTTAATTATATTTAACTTTTCAAACTGACTTCAAAAGAACCAGATTAACATACAAACATGAAATATCGTTTATCAAGCTCCTTTAGTGCAAAAGGACTGTGACTTCATTAGCTGAAAATGCTTTAGAAGAAGGATTGACCCCGAGTTCATTGACATCCCTTTCACTATAAAAACCAGGCTTTTAAGGTTGAGGCAACGACCCTTCAATTTTGAAGGATAGCAAAGATTATTCAGCAAACATCTCCAATTTTGAAGGATTCAAAAGGTGGCAAATATTTCAATCTGATCTCTTAACAATTTGTGTCTAATAATGGCTAATATGCCGTTAGAGAAACAGAGATAGAGGTATGCATATCACTGTGCTGGTTGTAACATTTGGCTAATATGTACCTACAGGAACTATGAGTATGTCTGTTTTCTAACTGTCCAGCATTCAATACCATATAGCGTGGCTGGTCTAATAGATGTTCTATAAACTTAGCTTTCAATTCTAGCAAAATATGATGATCACTCTATATATATGCTTAACAAAACCCTCCATTTTACCTATCGTGCTTTGATTCTATGAGCCACATCATCTCCATTCTCCCCTTGTATATATGGATGATTGAGTACATGCTAGATAGTGAAAGTTTTTGCTTTTTGATATACTCTTAGTGGTGCAATTGGTTGCTCTTATGTCTTCGTCAGAACCAAAGGCTCCTCTTGGTTAGCAGAATTCAAAGGAATATGGTTCCAGTGACCATCTAGTAGATGCAACTTTGCCTGCTATTGAAGTCAAATCATCATAACTAAGTATAAGGAATGGTACAAATAATCTTCATTATTATTATCCACAGTGTCTTCTGCATCACGATTCTCTTTCTTTGTTTTAATGAAAGATTGTAACTTAAATTTGTGTTTCTTATAAAAAGAAAAATTATAAATTGCTCACATATCACGATTCTCTTTCTGCAACTCACATATCCCTGCAAGGGCAAAGTCAGTTTACAAGCCTGACTATGTTAAAAAAGGACAAACAATGAAGGAAAACGGATAACCCTCAGTCAGTTAGAAAACAGTCTCTTGACATCACGGTGCAGTGACTCTGTGCTCTACAACTAAGAATTAATCCAGTGCTGCAAAAGACAGTCTTCTCATATCCCATGACTTATCAAAATCATGTTAGGAAAGTATTAAAATATATTACTATAAATTCATGTTATGCAATCAACTAAGGTTTGATATGCGTCACATGTGAAACCGTACGTTTGAGCATTCTCACAGACACAAAAAAGAAGAAAACCGATACAGATCTCTGCAGATCACGAAAGTCAGCATTGTCCATTTAGTGCTACAGCCCTAAAGATGAGTGGTAAAATTCTATCATATAGAAGGTTTAACATAATCTGTGATAGGAGAAAGTTCAAGGTCATTAAAAGTAAATCAAACCCAGATTGCAGATTGGGTGTGTCCAAAACCCCATGAAGAATTCCTTGCTAGATTTTGGAGCCTGCAATGCAAAGAGACCAGCATTTTTTTGTCATTCGTATGAATTTTGGAAATATTTCAACAACTATTGTTGTCATTTGTGTAACTTAAAGTTTGTTCATTCTATCATGATTTCAACAACTCATGTTGTGACTGTGGTTGGTAATTTTTTCGCCTTGTCATTTATTGAACCTACCTTCCTTCCTTTATGTGGTAACACTTGTGTTGTTGAACATAATCATGCAGATAGTGATCGCGTGAATATTTTTGCTAGTCTCAGTCTAAAGCCTTTGAATCTTCCTGCTCGAGATGCTCCTTGGAAGTGGGTAACTTCTCCTTTTCAGATGTCACATATGTGTATTCTATCATGATTTCAACAACTCATGTTGTGATTTTAATTAGAGTTAATATATTGTTTGGTATTAGAAGTTGATCAGAAAAATGTTGCTTGAGAATATGCGTGGTTTTTTTTTTTCAACTTAAATCTTCCAGTGGGATTGCTTTTGCATCCTATGTTGATGTTATGAATGCACTGTTTTTTCATGGGTGCTGTTTTACATATTTACATATATCAAGTTAATTAAGTGCTCTCAAAAGCTCCATTGATGTTTCTTTCTTTAGGGGAGGCTTCATCCTTGATGCAGCCACACCTGGAGAATTCATTGGTGGGTTAAAGACTACCATGTAATGCCAGGGACCAAGCCAAACAAAAAAAATTAGAAACTCAGAGAGAATGAGAGGGGAAATTGACTCTTTCCAACTAACAGGAACAAGACATTTTCATTAAAGACTACCAATGGATTGATAGTGTTCTTATGGTCAATAAGGACAAGAATTCCAGGGCTGCTCACCTTGAGTACACCTGATGAAGCAGTGAGGGGTGTGTTTCTTTTAGTCTGCACTATATATGGAGAGTCTGACTCTAATTAGAAGATAATTGTATTAATTTGATAAAGTTTTCTGTAACTTTCTCTCACCTTAAACAATCTCACAATAACAAGCATTGGAAACTTGATTAGAAATTAGAACCCTACAGTATATAGTTTAAGTTGAGTAGCTGGGAAGACAATTAGTAAGCTATCAATACTAAAGTTGAATAGTGGGGAGGCAAATTACTAAAGTTCCAAGGACAGATAAATAGGATGAATTTCTCATAAGGGATCCCCTTTCACCGTAGCTTGGAGTAGAATTCGTTTTCACACAATATCAATTATCAATGTAAACACGTTACTGATGCATTATCGACAATATCGATGCACGTCATATCAAATTTAGATGTGTAATTGAACGCAAATAAACATCACTCTCTCCAGTGTGAAATGGAGAAAATTCTCTTCAATCAAAAGTGGGCTTACTTCAAATTTAGTTCAAGAATGATGGTGTCTTGCCTGACAATTGACTATTAGTAGCGTTCCTCTAGTAGAAAAATCTGAATCATTTGTGGTCATCCACTCACTTGGTTAGTCTTCCAGAATCAAATACCAAATCGACTCAAAGGAAGCTTCAATTTTCTGAATTGTATACTTGTTTTAATTCTTCCTATCTTTTTCTCTCTTTCAATTTTTTTGTCCCCCTCAAGTTAATACTTCAGTGAGTTGCCAAATGGGGGGAAAAAGAGTAGAAGAGATGAACCCCACATTTGCATCATCCTCTTTTCCCAAGATGCCATAGCATCTACTAGAGAGTTTAGGTTGTACATTTGATAGAAACCCAAGGGTGGGCATGGTGGAAGAGAGATGTGGCAATTTACATGGAGAAAAAGAGGGAGTTTTGGGACCCGTGCTAGTCTTAATTATTCTAATAAAAGTATTGTTAACATGATAATAATCAATTAGTTGTGAGATTTAATCTCATCCATTTATAATGTGTTAATCTAATGGTCAAGAACTTGTGTAAAAAATATAGTGTCATGGATCCACCCTATATATATATAGTTCTATATCAATTCAAAGTGAAATAACTATAGGCTGTATACCTATCGCCTCAAGTAAAGACTTTAAGCTGTAAATTTCACGTTTACAATTTATTGAGTTTTACATAAACAGCAAAATTCTTTTTTTTTTTCTATATACATAATAAGAAGAAAATGCCTTCAGTTAGAAGAACATTGATCTTACTAAGAGAAAAAAGACTATTGATTTTATAATCAATAAAATTCTTTTTTTTTTAATTGCCAACATTTCATAAAATTCAAATCATCTCGCAGCAATGTATTTATTAATTTTATTTTCTAAATAAGGACCAAGGTATTAACTTTATATTTTTATTACGTTTGAATACTAGTGTTATTAGAAATTTAACTTATCAAACATATTATATAAGAAAAAGAAAAAGAATTGAGCTTAACCTTTAAAACATCTTTTCAAACCAAAAAAATAAAATAAAACAATTTAGTTTGGTAATTACTTAAAGGAGAGAAAAGAGCTAATTTTAAAGTAATGTACTTGTCATGTTTATTATTAGAATACATTTCTATTGGATTCCATACGAAAGTCGTCGACATGTCGTTTCTGTACACTCGACAACGTTGTAAGTTGTAACTAATTGAAGATTGAGTCGATTGGCCAATGTTCTAAAAATCGTTATGCGGCAGGCGCGGGCCTAGAGCCTAGAGGAGTAATCAACTAGGCGTTTTATTTATTTATAATTATTTTATATTATAAATTATAAATTAATTTATACATAAATAATGCAAAAATAAAATGTCATATAAATGATAAAGTACCGTAACCTACATTATTATTTAACTTATACTTGTTACTTCCTTTATTCAATAAATTATTATCGTAGTTTCTTAAAAAGAAAAAAAAAAGATACATGAAGGTTAATAAAATTAAGGGTGATTTTATTGGCACCTCATTATTTGCTCTTTGCACCCCATACTAATTTTAAACATGAATAACCCATGAATAACCTATTTTATCCTTTTAAATAATTACCGTTAAGAACAAAAAATATTTAAAATAAAATTTAAATTTGCTCACTACACCCCACATAAGTTCCTGCAACACTAATTAGACTTTTTTTCTCAAACCATCATGTTCCTACAACCCTAACGAGGTTTATACACTTATATTGGTGAAAAAATATCTTATATTTATTCATGGAGGGTGAGACTAAAGTTAGAGAGGCTTCGAATGAGGTATGAGTTTATTTTTTGGCCTTTTTCAAGTTAGGATTTCATGATGGTAGCTGATTGCGTTCAGCACACCAGCACCAAATGCGATAGGTAAATTCGGTGGGATGCCACCGAAACATTGCACCTATTTCGGTTGTGTTTGACCGGCCGATAACTTAAAATGTGGTGGAGATCCACCGTAACATAGAACAGTGTTCGCTAGTGTATTACCAAATTTTTACCTACAATTTAGTGGCAACAAATAGAAATATATTTATTTTTTCATTAACTTATTGTCGACCACATATTTAATGCAAGCTATTTTGACCTTACTTCTATTGAAGGAATAAAAACAAGGTGACGCCCCTAAAATAGATGACAAATCATCCAATGTGATGGTCATCTCACCAAAAGGCATTTGAAAGGTGTTCATTTCAGGATGCCACCTCTCAACGAAGGTAGATACAACAATCTTATCTGCATTCCGATAAGAACACCTAATAAGTTACTCTAATCCAGACTTCTGAATGTATCCTTTGAATATACCATTATTTAGATTAGTCCACCAATTCCACTCATGAATGGTAGATGTCTTCGACATGCACATAAGAGGCTCACATTCCTAGTCAAATACAAAAAAAAAAATATTTAGGTTAATTACCATGAACAAGACTTATATTATGCCTTCTATCATTACAGTAAAACGACTTACCTTTAATCCAGACTTCTGAATATACCATTTAAATATACCATTACTAAAATTCAATAAAATGATGTTTAGCTAAAAACACAACGATTAGAGTTACAATTTGAGCTTAAATTAATGAGCTAAAATGATTTTTACACAAATATTTTATAAGCGCCTACTTTTAAAGAATTTTTATTTTTATTTTTATCAAAGACGAAATTATCATTTACTTTATATTTAATAAAATTGAAACCAATTGATCAAACAAAATGAAAAATTAAACTAGTGTGCATAAATGATCAAGGGGTAATTAAAGATAAAGTTACTAATTTAGGAGAAGATCAAAATCAGGTTAGGAGATTTTTTAGCGGGTCCCACATGAAAGGGAAAGGCGAGTATAGCATAATGGAAATGCGAGTGCGGGAGTCGCAACTGAAGCCCTAACCTCCAAATCCATAGTCCAAAGCTCTTCTTACTCGCGGCCCCCAAT